CCACCAAAGCAGAGAGTAATTATGAAACTTGCTCAGGTTCATAAAGTTATTAAGAGGTTAAATTCTAAAACCAGCAACCATTGGCTCCAGAGCCCAAAGTTTAACTTTCTCTGTGCTTTGGACCATTTTAGCACTCTGAGAAAGCCAGATTTCTTTTCAGCTTAGTATTTTTAAATGCATAGAATAAAATACCCATTATAAATGAAACCAATTACATGGAGGACAAAAAATCCAAATGTGTGATACAGTAATATATATGCTTCTTAACAATGTAGTGGTAGATCTCTTCTCTACTATAACCAGATGTAATGATAAACACAAACAATATATTATAAACCACAGTATATTATAAAAATATCTGTGACTTGTCTAGTAGTAAAATCATAGTACTGCTCAGAGCACTGTAGTTTGCTGTTTACATTGGTAATTAAAAGAAATACTAACTGCTAGTTGGAAGTAGTAAACAGATAATTTTCCTAAGTTTATGGATGCCATCCATGTTAAGCCCCCTACACTGCATTCTATAATAAAAGCTTCTTAATACTGCAATTTAAAGGAATCACTCCCAGGTTCTTGTCTCCTTCTACACTGGCCCCCTTGGTGATCTCTTCCAGTGTTTTAGTTCTGAATACTAGCTAAGTTAATGATCACAAAATACATCTCTAGTCCAGACAATTCCCTTAAACTCCAGGGGTTTGAAATGGGTATCAATTCAAACCCAAATGTCTAACAGGCATCCCAAAGTTACCATGTCTAAAACCGAATTCCTTTTTTTAATTTTTTAATGTTTTATTTATTTCTGAGAGAGAGTGTGAGAGAGGCAGCGTGAGCAGGGGAAGGTCAGAGAGAAAGAGAGACAGAGGATCCAAAGCAGGGTCCAGGCTCTGAACTACCTGTCAGCACAGAGCCTAACAAGAGGCTCGAACCCACGAACCATGAGATCATGACCTGAGCCGAAGTCCAACACTTAACCGACTGAGCCACCAAGGCGCCTAAAACTGAATTCCTAATCTATTTCCCAAACTTGCTCTTGTCATGAAGTCATACCTACCTTGGCTGATCGAAACTCCATCTTCCTAACTGCTTAGACCAAAAACCCGGGAATCATCCTTGGTTCCTCTCTCACATACCTCATCTGATCTACCAACAAACCATACTGGTTTGATCTTCGATGTATATCCAAATCCAATCATTTCTCACCGTGTCCTGTTACCATTTATAAGTCAGAAGCATCTCTCCCAGATCGCTAGCTTCAAGTCTCCTTGCTTTGCTGTTGCTCCCCACGGCCTGAAGCTGAAAACAGATCACTGTCACTCCTCTGTTGAAAACTCTGGCCAAAGTCCTTATAATGGCTCTACAAAGCACTATAAGAGCTGCACCCCACCCTGACCCAAGTTACTATCACTCTTTTTGTTCATCCCATTCTAGTCACACCAGGCAGAATTCACTAGGTCTGCCTCAGCACACTGGAACTAGCTATTCCCTCTGCTTGGAATACTTTCACTCCAGATATTAACACAGCTAACCCCTGCCCCTTTAAATCTTTGCCTAAATATCATTCTCAAGAAGGTTCACCCAGTCTACCACATTTTAAACTACAACATCCCAGAAATTCTGGATCCCCCTTACCCTGCTCCATTTTTCAGAGCACTTACCTTTGAACACGCTATATTATTCATTACCGCCCCTCCCTAGGAGGGGTGCCCATAAGGCCAAAATTTGTGTTTTGTACACCATCCTCCCTAGTGTGCCTATGTCTGGCACAAAATAGACATGCATATGTTCAAAGAACAGCACTTCTATCATTGTTAAGTACTTGCCTGTCTCTCTCATTAGAGGAGTTCCTTAAGACTTGAACTGGATCTAATTTGCAGTGTCCTCAACACCTGGCCCCAATAGCAGACACCTAATGCACAGATACTCAGGTGATTACAGCCATTTTCACCTGAAATACAATCTTATATACCACAGGAAAAAAGCCAGGTCTCACAGCTGTGCCTGATGAAAGAGTGAGTACAAGACAAACACAGAACATCAGGTTCCAACTGTTTCTTCAAACAAACTCAATTTACACGTCGTGCCTCAATTTTTTCATGTGTCTAAAAACCATTTCAAACTACCTAAAGTCTAAAAGGGACACTTGGTCATGTCACCCCCTCAAGTCCACCTAATCTTTTCAAACTTGACTTTTTTTTTAAGTGTTCCCTGATAACCCCAGCCAGAAGCATTTACAGATGCCTCACTCTGTGCCAAGTCCTTTTCATACATAATTCTCATTCAATCCTCCCAAAAGCCCTATGAAGTTGCTACCATCACGATCCCAATTTCAAGATGGGAAAACCCAAGCTTAGAGACATGGAGTCACTTGACCAAGGTTCAACTAGTGTACAAACCCAGGTATGTCTGATTCTGAAATCCAAGTTCTTTACCCCTACACTGTATTGCTCTTCTCTCTCCAGGGGTGTAATGACTGACTGGTAGCTTATACACACTACCTCAACAGGGTTTCCTGTCACTTCACTTCTCTAGGCTTCAGTTTCTGCATCTGAAAAACAAGTGATATTGTTCAGGATGCCTTCTAAGATCCCCCCTAGTTCTTACAGTATTATAACAGAAAATATTTTATAATTATAAACTTCATGCAGGTTAATACACATACACACACACACACACACACACACACACACACACACACACTCTTTGGAACTTAGAAATCCAAAGCAGTAGCGACAGAAAAGCAGTGAAAATAAAAACTCTCAAGATCCTGTGTAAAACAATAAACTTTCTTGATTCTTCCCCACTTAGATCCATCAAAGATGCACTGCTGAGTCCATTTTGCCACACAATATGAAAAACTATGTTTTCCCCAAAAAAGTGGAAGGATGTGATCCTTAAAGCCTCTGAACTTCACCACACAACCGGGTAAAAAGAACTGTAAGCAGGCATTTAGTTGGATCAAGGGCTAGCAAGTTATTTTGTACCAGACAACTGTTCAATAGCGTTTATTGGATAATGATACAGAATTGAGGTTTTCCAAGTCTCACACCAAAAGCCTACATAACATGAGCTTTGTCACTGGAGTAATGATTGTGTAGCAAATATAAACAAATCTAATCAAGGTAATGTTAACCTAACAGGAAAGAACCCATGAAAGGATAAAGCCTTGTGGTGACAACTTACTGTTCCAAGTAAGAGTTGGGTTTGTTTAGAAAGGTAAAATAAGTATTTCTCTTTTGGTGCAGAAACCATCAACACCCCAACAGAATCCTTCTGTGTTGCAACTGAATCTAAAAACTATCAAGTAAGATCCAGACATTACTGGACCAAGTTGCAAAGTTTCCAGCAAAGAGTTTAAAAAAAAAAAAAAAAGAGCCATAGCAGAACTAAGGTAAAATGTGTCAAAAGAGCAAATCTCTTGGAATCATTCTGCTCAGAAAAGTGACAGTTCCAATCAAAACCCTACGAACCGTAAAGTTTGCAAAGAGTCATACATTCATAGGTCTAGATACACTAGCAAATGGAGTTTAAGAATAGCTTTTTAAAACAATAGTCGTGAGGGCGGAGGGAAAGAAGTGAATCCAGGCTCTGGAGTGGAAGCTCTCGGAGATATTGGATACAGTAGCAGCAGATACAGCCCTCCACAGAAATGTTTAAGAAGAAGAAGAAGGAGAAGAAGAAGAGGAAGAAGGTCCAAGGCTGAAAAAAATACTACCGGGCAAAACTGTATTTCAGTTTTCTAGAACGCTGTCTCTTTAGAGAATCCTCAAACGATCCCCAGTTTTTAAGTCTTTATGAGAAGTAGAAAGTCATCCATTTAGGGTAAAAGGTTCCTGTTACCAAGGAAGCAGTGTCCGAAAGTGTGCAAGTCCCACAATCTGGAAGAGAACGTATGCCCCTCCGAAGGCTTTCATTTTCAGGCGGAAAAACAAACCCGGTGTCACCTCAACATCGGGGCCACACAAACCTCGCCACCATTACAAAACCCAAGTGCCAAAGGTGCAGAAGCTGAAGCCGGAAGCACTCCGAGGCCGGGATCGAGTTCCAGGAGAAGAAAAAAAAGAAAAAAAAAAAAATTAAACCCAAGGGTGCAGCGCGGACCCTCCGCGGCCCCCGGCCGAGCGACGCACGCTAGGCCCTTCCGGTCCGAGCCGCCGTCGCCGGGAGGCCGGGCGACAGGCCGGGCGACGGGCCGGGCTTCCACCCGAGCCCGGGGATTCGCGGCCTACCCTCGCCGGTGCCCTCTCGCTGACTCCGACACTGGCAGTTCCTCCGCCCCGGCCCCTGAGCCTGCGGCGCGGCATGAGGGGTTCGCGGGGAGCCGGAGGAGACCGCCGAGCCGCGGGGCCGGCCGGGTCGGTGAGGACGCGGCGGCGACGGAGGCCGTGGCCGCCCCTCCCCCACCGGCCCGGCCCAACCGCCGCTGCGACGCGACCAGCCGCGCCAACGCCGGGCCCAACCGCCGACCCGCGGCGGCCCGGGCGAGGCGGCGGCGCGGGCCTGCTCCCCACGCCGCCCGCGCGAGTCCACCGCGGGCCCGTTACTCCTCGCGCCGGCCCGCGCAGCCGCCCGTCAGGACGCGCCGCCCTGGGCTCGGGCCGAGGCGGCGGGAGACCGCGGGGCTGATACTTACTCAGGGGTCGGGTGCTCGGGGTCGTAGAAATCCCCCATCTTCGGAGGCGGCTGCGGCGGCAGCTGCTTCATCGGGAGCGGCTGGAGGCGGCGACGCGAGCCCCCTCCCCGCGGCAGGGCGACGCGCGGGAGGGGAGGGGAGGAGAGGGGAGGAGGCCGCTGGTCCGACCGCGGCGGCGGCGGCGGCAGGGGCGGCCCGCGTCGCTACCTCGCTCGTTCCCTCCCTCCCTCCGGCGCCCGCCCGCCGCTCTCTCCCCCACACACTCACACGGGGAGCGACGCGCACCCCGCCAGCCCCTCCGCCGCACAGGCCCGGCCCCTTAAAGGGACACGCACGGGCCGCGCGTCCGCCGCCAGTCGGCGCTCCCGCAGCTGCCGGGCGACCCCCAGGCGGGGGCGGGTTGGCCGGCCCGAGTCTGCCCGAGGCTTCCCGGAACAATAAGCCTCCGGCCTGAGCGCCGTGGACCCGCCCGGGACTCCCAGTGGAGGCGCTGCCGCGACCTCTCCCTCAAGCCCAGAAAGGCGGCCGGGGACTGAGGCGTGACCCGGCCCCGGGCTGTTGGCAGGCGACGTCGTGGGCCCGAGCCCGCCGGGACTCTAACCTTCCTGCCCCGCCGACCGTAGCACCGACGTCCGCGGCCGCGCCGACGACGGCCCCTCCCCCGGGCCCCGGGACTCTGAGGTACCGCGGTCGCCGCTCCTCCCGAGCCTGTCTCCCTTCTCTCCTTTCTCTCTCTTCCTCGCGCTCTCTCTCCCTTGCCTCTTCATCTCGCCCCTCAGCAGGTACGGAAACGGAGCCAGGCCAGGGATTCGCCCGGAGCCCGAGCTCCCCGGACGCCCCCTCCTCCTTCCCGCCTCCCTCTGGGTCATCTGAAACTCCCCCCCCACCCCACCCCCCCCACGCAACTCGGCCGGCCACCGCGCCAGTCTTCCGTGGGGTTCCTAAGGCCTTGGAACAAACATCCTGTTTAAAGGCTGCTAATCACTGCAGCCTGCAAAGATGACAAGATGGGACACCTTGAAAGAGCCAGGGTTTTTAGTTCTTATTTTTGGAAGGAGAAACAAGAATGCGTAAAGCGTTTAACTAAACGCTCAGGACGTTGAAGGGTTCATGGCAACTGATCGTTTTGAAATTGGGAGTTCACAGGATCGCTATAACTTTGGATAGGATTTTACCAGCAAAGAGCCGCACGGAAGTCTGTGTTGTGGACTGAATGTTCGTGTGCCTCCCACCCACCCAATTCACACCGTTGAAAACCCTCACCTCCTAGGTATTAGGAAATAGGGCGTTTGAGGTGATTAGGTCTTGAGGGTGGAGCCCTCCTGAGTGGAATTAGTGCCCTTATATAAGGGACCCCGTTGAGCGCTCTTACTGTGCTGTCTGCCACGTGAGGGAAGATTCAAGGAGAAGGGGCCGGCTACAACCCTGAAGAGTTCCCCCAGCAGACCGCAGCCATGCCGGCACCCTGCTCTCCGATTCCCAGCGTGCAGAACTGTCAGAAATAAATTTCGGTTGTTTATAGCCCCACAGCCCAGTGTTACAGCAGCCTAAACCAAGACGGTATGTGTCCTAATTACTGAAATGTGACCTAAGCGAATTGACATCCTTCATTAGCTCTTTTTTATATCCTGTAAGTGTGCGCGCGCAGGTGTGCGCGCCTGCATGTGTAAATGCTTACGCAGGCAGTGTCTATCGCGTTTTAGCATCATTGTTTCTCATTTGGGGACCATTTTGGGGTTGTTATTTTTGGGTGTTGTTTTTTTTTTTTTCCTGTTGCCTTTAGGCATGGGATCCAGGTACAGGGCCTATCTGACTCCCTAGGTTCAAGTCTCCAGTGACCACTTCTTTACAGACAGTGACCACTTCTTTACAGACCATGAATGTTACATAATTTTTCAGTGCTTTTTTTTTTCTCATTGTTAAGATGAGGATATTAATGGGGACAGGTCCTCTCACTGCTGTTAAGGGTTAAATGAGAGACTATTTGTAAAGCTCTAAACCTTCAGTCCATGTCAGCGCCTAATCAGACATTTCAGGGCAGTGGTTAAGTGTACCAGCCCTGCCACTTTCTAGTATGTGACACTGGGCATGGTGACTTTTCATGCAAGAAAAGGATTGGAGGATTGAATACTATTAAATGCCTTCATCTGTTGTTGTACCAGTGCTTTTTCTGTGCATATATTTTAAATCCAAAGAGAACATATCTTCAGAACATATTCTTGGGCGTGGCCTCTTGATCAAAGCTGTGGAATAATTTGGTCTTTAGCATTATTATATATTGAATGTCTCCTTTTCTGTTACATAAAGCCCTCTGCAAATGTGTTTGAAGGGAAAATATCAAACATCTTAAGGTGAAACATAAGAAGCATTTATCCCTAGTGCTCTGAAGAGCATAAAAACCTTCATGATTGTTCCTGCCATTAATGCTTCCTGTTGACCCAGACCACTCCATTCTCAGGGGACCCCAGCGTAGCCTTTAGTGACTTTGAAACAAAGTTGACTCAGGCATCTCTTGCCTTAGGGGAGACACAAGGCCAAAAGTTGGACATTGTCCACAGTTGGGCTCCAGGTACCTTGTAAAGAGTTGGGAAAAGAAAAAATATGTAGCTGAGGGGATGGCAGAGGCACCAGGTGATCCCTTGAGCACCGTCTTCAAAACTACTATTTGTAAACAAAATGTTTAAGGTAATATACTGGCAAGACAGAACTGACACAGAAGCAGTACAATCAAGATAGTGAGGTACTCTAAAGTGCCACTGGGCAGTACCTTCCCTGCGCCCCCCAGTGTGTCCAGGCCAAAGCTCTCCTGCTTCACATGGGAACCTGGCTAAAGCTCTAGAGAGAGGGAAATAGTCGTCCCCACCCTTGAACCCACAGCTGAAGCTGAATGGGGAAACCACTCCTAATCACTTACTCTTGCCTCTTCCCATCCTACTCTTCTCTCACCAAATCTTTTCCCCAGGTGAGTATTATCGGGAGACTGGTTGTGCTCAAGAGATGCCAATTCGGAAGAGACCAGCAAGCCCCACGCCTTCACTCCTGGGACTCCTCAAAGTTCCTTGCTTTGCCAAGAGGGGGCAGAGTTGACAGTGGCAACAAGGCCAACATTGGCAGTGGGAGCAGGGCAGTGTGGGCAGTTGTGTCTCTACGCATGTGCTCCCACATAAACTCTTACCTTGGCAGAGTCAGGCCTATTCTGGCAGCCATAGCCTGTGGTTAATAGTCATCTGCTAATATATGAAAGGTTGAATATGGTATCACAGAGGCAGTTTGGGAGTGGAGTATACATGAATACATACCCAAGGCTGGGTTATATCAAGATCAAATGTTTGAAAGTTCAGGCTTGCCAGTACAAGACTCATGTAGATCACAACAGTTTGTGAGATACTTACTCACTTTCCATGATTATTTAAACATTATCTTGAATCCATTCCCAGCTGACATGATCCTTATCTATTTATTCTTTTCTCCCTCAGTGTGCTTTTAAATAGAGGAATCGTGTGTATTACATATTCCAAAAATGTATTTTTCTTTATTTGGTTTCTAGGAACCCAAAATTAGCTGTTACTTTAATTGTATATTAACCCCCCCCTCAAAAAAATACATACAGGTCCATCGTAGCATTTGAATAGAAACATGAATTAGTTATTTAGAAGCTGTTATATACTGTGTTTTTTATGGTGATTTACTGCTTAATTTTAATAGATCAACAAATTATTCTGTTACAAATGAAATTAATTCCTTTCTGTTAATTAAAAATATAATGAGACAGTTTTTAGAACAAAATGTATAACTCTACAAATGAAAAACTTGGATCAAGTGGTTTAAATATATATTTACTTCCCTGTAGGATAGAGATATATACAACCAAAATCTTAGCATTTAGGGAACATCAAATGTGATATTGTCTAAGAAAGTACTTAAACTAATAGCCATGAACTAAAGAATTAGCTACCTTATAAATTTATGTAGCTACCTAAAGTCCAACATAATTGAAAGTTATTTTAGATTTAATCAGTTTACAAAAGAAAGATAGCTTCCTTTAGAATAATGGTTATTTCAACTGTTCTATACAAATCTATCACACCCTTTAGCTCTGGAATTCCTTAGAGAAAAGGGTATAATTACAATTGATTTTTAATCATGTTCAGTCTGCAGATCTCAACACAAGGGGAATCGACAAAACGATACACAATCTATATTGAGTCCTATCACATACATTATTTATGTTAACTGAGCATCTTCCTCTATGGTAGTAGTATACTCTGTAGTTGTCTTTTCTCTTCCATACCTCTTTGTTAACTGGCTTTCATTACCTAACTATCTTCCCAACTCTTGTAAGTTCATTGTAGGCAGAAGCATTATTGTCTCTCATATTTTATAGTGTTTGGCCTGTATGTGCCAGGTGTAATAAATACTTCACTACTTTTTTGAAAACCTTACCTTTTTCTACTCTTTTTCTTTTAGAAACTCCTGAAGTGTTCACGTTGGATTTTTCTGTCAAGAGTACATTGTTGAGCAGCTGATAGGCTGCTGACATCCAGGTAAGCACGCCTCCTGTGAAGACTCCTTCATAAGCCCCTAGGAGCCAACCCTTTCACTGGGCTTGAAAGTGGTGACCTGAAAGAGCCATACACTTAGCCACAAAGCACACGGGAATATTATTAGCTGATTTCTTTTCAATATGTGTTAATCTCGTCTTATCCACAAGAGTATCAAACACTCAGGGAAGTGATTATAGTCTTTGTTCTGTTGTGTTTTGGATCTTGGCATCTTGGATCTCAGGGGCTACTTAGTGCATCCTCCCTCCCAGCCTTGTCTCTCCCAGCAAAGGATGAAACTCATTTTAACAGAGTAATAAACCAAAGATCCTAGAGGTCAAGGTACTTACCTAGAGTCACATAACTTAAGGATTGGTAGAGCCAGGATTTGAACCTGGCTATGTGATTCAAGATATTTTCAGACAAAAATCTGGAATTTACCACCAACAGAAAATACTCCCTGATACAAGAAGGAACAATGACCAAAGAAATTGGTATGGTTAAAACTAAAAATGTAATAAAGGAATAATACTAATAACGTGTGTGGTTAATAGAGTAAAGCAGGATAGAACTAATATCTTGGACAACAAAGTTATACTTGGAAAGTGGGAAGGGTAGGGATGGTGATTGGAGTTAAAAGTTTTCCAGAATCCTTGTATTATTTGGGAAGGGGGCAAAAATACTGAGTAAGCTTTATTCTTTAAGTGTTCAAGTTAAAATATCTCAGGTAACTACTAAGAGAATTTTAATTTTTAAATTAATAGAAGGAAGAAATAGAATAAAATTACAAAAAGAAGCAACGTATGGTGAAAAAAGAAATAGTGAAACAAATAGAAATCACAAAAATATGGTAAAAATAAATGCAAATATCTCAGTAACTACAGTAAATGTAAATCAAATAACATCTCCAATTTTAAATAAGAACGTAAACAGACAAAATCCAACAATATGCTATTTTTGAAACATTCTCAAAACCAAGAACATAGAAAAATATAGAAGGATGGAAAAAGATGTCAGTGTAATATATCAGTAGAAAGCCTACCGGGAACATCAGACAAACTAAGAATAAATGAAGGTTACTAAGTAATGATGAGTTCAGGACCCTAGGACCTCAAAATTCTAACCATGCATGCATATAATTACATGTCCTTAAAATACTGAAAGCAAACTTCGACAGAACTACAAGAAAAATGTATAAATTTCCCACTGTAGTAGAGATTTTAATTTTTTTTTATATTTTTATTTCTAGGAGAGAGAGAGAGAGAGAGAGAGAGACAGCATGAGCAGGGGAGGGTCAGAGAGAGAGGAAGATACAGACTCTGAAATAGGCTCCAGGCTCTGGGCTGGCAGTCAGCCCCGACGTGGGGCTCGAACCCACGAACCGCGAGATCATGACCTAAGCAAAAGTTGAACACTTAACTGACTAAGCCACCCAGATTCCCCTGTAGTGGAGATTTTAATACACCTCAATATAATGGATAGATCTCACAGACAAGAATCAGAAGATACAAGCAACATAATTAAGAAAATTGAGGGACACCTGGGTGGCTTGGTCTGTTAAAGGTCTGACTCTGGATTTCAGCTCAGGTCATTATCTCAGGGTCTGTGAATAGGAGCCCCATGTCTGGCTCTGTGCTGACAGTACGAAGCCTGCTTAGGATTCTCTCTCTACCTCCCTCTCTGCCCCTCCCCTGCTCATTTTCTCTCTCTCTCTCTTTCTCTCTCTCAAAATAAATAAATTTTTTAAAAAAGGAGATTGAATTAATAGACATGAAATGTTGCACTCTAGAGTATTCATATCCTAATGTACACATATGGGATATTTATGAAAATTGACCTCATGTATGTCCATGTAGATATTTGTATGTCCATGAGAATTTGTAATTCTCAACAAATTTCAGATGATTGGTGTTGCATAAGCCATGTTCTCTAACAAACATGCAATTAAGTTAGAAATCACTAATGGGGGAAAAACATATTTGAATATTCAAAAGCATGCTTGTAAATAACTCATTGGTCAGAAAAAAAAACTATACTGGGAATCACAAAATAATTGATGCTGAAGGACAATGAATAGTAATTCCTGGATTCTCCTCACTAGGAAAAATTTTTTCTTTTTTCTTTTTTTGGTATCTATATGAGATGATGTATGTTAGCTGAACCTAATGTGGTAATTACTTCACCATATACGTAAATCAGACCATCATACTGTATGCCTTAAACTTACACTGATTTATAGCAATCATTTCTCAATAAAACTAGAATAAGTAGTGAAATATCAAAATCATAGATAAAGCAGTAATTAGAGGAAAGTTAGGAATTTAAATACTTAAGGGGGGAGACAAAATTGACAATTATATGTCAAACTTAAGTAAAGAAAAAGATCAGAGTACAAAATTAATGAAAGAAAGTACGTACAACGGAGAAGATGCACAAAGCCAACAATTTATTCTTCCTGAACGAACAATTCGACCAACTTCTGACAAATTGCGGGAGAAATAGAAGATACAAATAATGAAAAGAGGGACAAAACTATGGAAACTACTGAGATTATAAAATTAACCCAAAAAATGAACAATCTGATACCAATAGATCTGAAAACTTAAATCAACTTGGGTAACTTTCTAACATAATACAAATTAGCAAAACTGACTTAGTGAGAAATGAAAAACCTATCTGTTCCTAAAACTATGAAAAAATTAATCAGTAATCTGGGATGCCTGGGTGGCTCATCAGTTAAGTGTCTGGCTCTTCATTTCAGCTCATGTCATGATCTCACAGTCTGAGCATGGAGCCTAGTTGGGATTCTCTCTCTCCCTCTTTCTCTGTCCCTCCCTCGCTCACTCTCAAAATAAATAAAACATTTAAAAAACATTTTTTTTAAATTTTTTTTTTAATGTTTTATTTCTAGGAGAGAGAGAGACAGCGTGAGCAGGGGAGGGTCAGGGAGAGAGGGAGTCACAGATTGAAACAGGCTCCAGGCTCTGAGCCGGCAGCCAGCACAGAGCCCGACGCGGGGCTCGAACCCACGAACCGCGAGATCATGACCTAAGCGAAAGTCGGACGCTTAACCGACTAAGCCACCCAGGCGCCCCAACATTTTTAAAAATTTTTTAATAAAAAATCAGTAATCAATTTTTCCTCAAAAAGAAAGGAAGGGATAGATGGATAGACAGACCCAGACAAAGATAGGACAAAAAAAGGAAAAAGTTACAAGCTATTCTTATTCTTTTTTTTTTTAATTGTTTTTTTTTGTTTTATTTATTTATTTCTAGGAGAGAGAAACAGCGTGAGCAGGGGAGGGTCAGAGAGAGAGGGAGGCACAGAATCTGAAACAGGCTCCAGGCTCTGAGCTGGCAGTCATCACAGAGCCCGATGCGGGGCTCGAACCCACGAACCGCGAGATCATGACCTAAGCGAAAGTTGGACACTTAACCGACTAAGCCACCCAGGTGCCCCAAGCTATTCTTATTCTTGAACAAAGATGGAATAATCCTGAACAAAATATTAAAGCAAATCCAAAATGATAAAAATCATAATAAAGTTGAATTTATTTCAGGAATGAAAGTTAGGGTTCAATATTGCAAACTTTTTAAAGTAATTCACCATATTAACAAATTTTGATGGTGTGGTAGGCAGAATAATAGCTCCTAACAATGTCCACTTCCTGATCCCTGGAACCTGAATATTTTTCTTTGTGTGGCAAAAGGGACTTGAATGTGACTGAGTTCCACACCTTGATATGGGGAGGTTATCTTGGATTATCTGGGCCCGGTCTAAAAACAAATCCTTAAAAATGGAAGAGGAAGGCAAAAGGGTTGGTAAGAGAGAAGAAAAAGGGCAAGGACTCAACCTGCCTGTTGCTGGCTTTGAAAATGGAAGAAAACTGCCATGAGCCAAGGAATGTGACAGCCTCTGCAAAATGAGAATAACTCTCACTCATTTTACAGCCAGCAAGAAAACAGGCACTGTGGTCCTACAACCTCTAGGAACTGAATTCTGCCTATAACCCAAATGAGCAGGAAATAGATTTCCTCCCCGAGCCTCCAGAATGGAATGCAGCCTGCCAACACCATTTTTAGTTCAGTTAGACCCATACTGGATTTCTGGTGTGCAGAAATTTATGTTGTCTCAAGCTTCTAAGTTTGTAGCAATTTGTTACAGCAGCAACTGAAAGCTAATACAAGATGGTACGACCAAATGCTTTTAGATACAGGCAAAAGTGTTAACATTCAGTAACCATTCTTAATTTGAAAAACAGAAAAAGGGCGGGGGGAACCCTTTAACAAACCAGGAATAGAAGGAAACTGCCTTAACCTGATAAAGATCTAGAGCAAACATGATACATAATTGTGAGATAAAGCATTTTTAAAATTTTTTTAGAATTAAAAAGAAAAAACATTGTGGGGTGACTGGGTGGCTCAGTCAGTTGAGCGACCGACTTTGGCTCAAGTCATGATCTTACAGTCTGTGGGTTCAAGCCCTGCATCAGGCTCAGTGCTGACAGCTCAGAGCCTGGAGCCTGCTTCAGATTCTGTGTCTCTCTCTCTCTCTGCCCCTGCCCCACTCATGCAATGTCTCTGTCTCTCAAAAATAAACAAACACTAAAAAATATTTTTAAATGTTTGCTATCACCATTTCTTTTTTCTTTTTTCTTTTTTTGCTACATCATTTCTTTTCAACATTGTACTTGAGTCCTAGCCAACAAAATAAAACAATGAAAGAAAACATGTAAGGAATGAAAAGGACAGTTATTATTTACAAGTGATATGATTATCTATTTAGAGAACCCCAAATAATTTACAGAATAAGAACTAAAGACATTTCTTCCAGTTTTTCAGATAAAAAAATAAGTCAACTGCATTTCCGTGATCCAGCAGTTAGAAAGTACAAGCAAATAAAACATACTATTTACAAAAACAACACCAACACCAGAATATCAGAGCTGGGTTATCCATCTGGAGAGCAAGTAAAAACGGATCCTCATTTAACCCAAAAGTCAATTCCAGATGGATTAAAGACTTCAATATAAAAGGCAAAACATGAAAAGATTTAAAATAAAATGTAGAATAATACATTATCTTTGGTACATGCCTATGTGGTAGAAAAAAATGTTCTTAAAATTCAAAGTGTAGACCAAAGAAGTCAAAATTCAGCTCCCTTGAAACTTTGTTGTCAAAAGACAAAAAGTAGAAGGAAAAATCATAAACTGGAAGGAAAGACCTGTAACATACATAATAACAACAAAAGTATCTACACCTCAGTACAGTGGCTATTAACCACATGAGCCTGATGAGTACTTAAAATGTAACTAGGCCAAATTAAGATGTGTTGTAAGTATGAAATAGATACCAGATTGCAAAGAGTTGTACAAAAAAAATTTTTTTATGCATTACATGTTGAAATGATAATATTTTGGTAAGTAGATTGTATTAAGTAAAAAATATTATTAAAATTAATTTGGCCTGTTTCTTATCACTGTTTTAAATGTGGCTTCTAGAATATTGGAAATTACATTTTTGTAATTTTGTAAAAATTTTTTAATTTTGTACAAAAAATTGCACTTTATTTCTGTTGCATGGCGCTGATCTAGCATATATAACAAACTCATGCAAATCAGAAAAAGACAACCCAATTTTTTAAATTGGCAAATATCACCAAAGAGGAAAAATTAATAGCTAAGAAATATTGAAAAGATGTTTTAGGAAAATCAGACTCAATGCAGTGTTAGTGGAAGTGTTAATTGGTATAACGGCTTTGAAAAACAATTTGACATTACCTAGTAAAGTTGATTATGGGCATATACTACAGCCCAACAATTACACTCTTAGATATGCAAACTAGAGAAACTTGCACATGTACCACAAAGGCCATGTTTGGAAATGTTCATAGCAGTATTGGCAAATGTCCCTTCAATTGTAGTATATTTATGTGATGAATGATAAAACACCATTTGAAAATGGGCACCTGGGTGGCTCAATTGGTTAAGTGTCCAAATTCAGCTCAGGCCATGATCTCACAGTTCATGAGTTCAAGCCCCACATCGAGCTCTCCACTCTCAGCCTAGAGCCTGCTTCAAATCCGCTGTCCCTCTCTCTCTACCCTCCCCCAAATAAAAAATAAAATGAAATTTCCAGCTACACCTATCAAAATGGTTAAATCTCGGGAACAGGGGCACCTGAATGGCTCTGTCAGTTAAGCATCTGACTTTGGCTCACATCATGATCTCATGATTTGTGGGTTCAAGTCCCACATCAGGCTCTATGCTGACAGCTCAGAGTTTGGAGCCTGCTTCTGTGTCTCCCTCTCTCTCTGACCCTCCCCCGCTTATGCTCTGTCTCTCAAACAAACAAAAAAATAAGTAAATGTTTAAAAAATAAAAAATCTCAGGAACATGAGCAGGAAAAAAAGACATAAAAGAATATATAATTTTTTTCCATTTATATGAAGTTTTACAAGTCAAAATTAACAGATTATGCAGGGATTTAAACAAAATTCAGGGGTAGCTCAGTTGGATAAGCATCTGAATCTTGATTTTGGCTCAGGTCATGATCTCACAGCTTGTGAGATGAAGCCCCACATCAGGCTCTGCATTGACAGTGTGGAGCCTGCTTGAGACTCTCTCTTTCTCTCTGCTCCTCTCCCCTAAAAAGAAAGAACCAGACATTTTTTAAAAACATGACAAAACTCAAAGGGAAAATTGAAGGAAGAAGTAAAAAAAAATCAGATTTTTTTTTCTATAGGGGGAAAAGGAATCATATGGGAGCACCCAGGAGGCTTCAGAGAATGGCTAAAGCTCTGTTTCTTAAATTGGTGGTAAGTACATAGTTGTTTTACTGTTATTTTGTCTACCCTCTGCTTGATTAATAATTGTATCTATTTACAATTTAATAAAAACATGTGTGTATCCTTTGACTCAGCAAATTCTATTTCTGAAATTCTAGTTTATAGAAATAAAAATACTGTGCAAAGAATAAATGTACAAAGATATTGTATCATTACTTGTATCGGGGAAAATAAAGAGTATGGTCATAAACAATGGAATGGAAGAATGGAAGAATACATTTTGCAATATTTATACCAAGGAATGCTAACACTGTCATTTAAAAGAATGAATTTTCACTATACTAGATGTTCTGGAGGAGTTTCCATAAGGTTTTGGGATTTGTTGAATGGGAAAAGCTTAAAATGCTTAAACTTATATATACACATATGGTTGGGTTTTTTTTTTAACTTTTTGAGTATGAAGAAAGATACAGATGAATATATACCATCTAGTTATCTTTTTAAAACATTTTTAAGGTTTATTTATTTATTGAGAGAGAGCACGCACACATGCAAATGATGGAGGGGCAGAGAGAGAATCCCAAGTGCTAGTGGCACAGAGCCTGTCATGGGGCTCAATCCCATGAACTGTGAGATCGAGTTGGACACTTAACTGGCTGAGCCACCCAGGTGCCTCTAGTTGAGTTATCTTGATTATCCTTCATTTGAGAAACGAAGGAAGGAGGAAGTGATAGGAAAAAAAAAGAATATTACCACCACAACCCAGTAAATATATTGTGATCCTGTGTATATATAAAACTACAGATATTTGTATATATTTAGAGATCCATTAAGAAATTGGGAGAAAAAAAATAGAGCTGGATCTGCATTTACTGGCACAGGGATGTCAACGAAAAAAGTTAAGTTCCAGAGTAATATGTGTTTGGAGTCTATTTCAATTAAGCCAAAAGCCATATATATGCATGTTCATGTAAGTGCTTTTATAAATATATCTGAACGATGAGAGATGAAGAATATTGTCTGTTAATATTGCTGATGGTTTGGATGCAGGAAGTGAGAGAAAGAAAGCAAAGATAAATCCTAAATTTTTTACCTCAGCAACTGATTGACTTGTGGAGACTGGGGAAGAAATAGGTCGGGGGATGTGGTATTAATAATTCTGCTTAGAACATATTAAGGCATAAAATGTTGCTAAACATTCAGATGGAGACACAAAGTGACCAGTTCAATGATACCAGTCAAGAATTTAGAGGAATGCTCTAGATGTAGACACATATATTTTGGAGTCATCAGGGTACAAATCTGCATGACGTCTCCTAGGAGAAAGTATAGCTAGAGAAAAGGGCAGATAAAAGGACAGAGCCCAGGATTGAGCATTTGGGAACATTAGTATTTACAGGTCATAAAGAACGATCAGCCACCAAAGGGACAAAGGTGAAGAAAACAAGGGAGTGTGGTCTTGTGGAAGCCATGAGAAGAAAGCTTTTTTTTTATTTTTTTTATTTTTTTTTTACAAATAGTTTATTGTCAAATTAGTTTCCACACAACACTCAGTGCTCATCCCCATAAGTGTCCTCCTCCATGCCCATCCCCCCCCCCACATCCATCAGTCCTCAGTTTTTGTCAGCATTCAAGAGTCTCTCATGGTTTGCCTCTCTCCCTTTCCCCCACCATTTCCGCTCTTCTTCTCCCCCTTGTTCCTCCGTCAAGTTCCTCCTAATCCTCCTATACGTGCAAACATATGAAATTTGTCCTTCTCTGCCTGACTTAGTTCGCTCAGCATAACACCCTCAAGGTCCATCCATGTTGCTACACATGGCCAGATTTCATTCTTTCTCATTGCCATGTAGTATTCCATGGTATAG